TGGCCACATGTCAAGAAACACAATCCCACTATTAACCTCTTCTTCCAATGTGAACTTGATAATGGGATGAGCGGAATTAAATATCCTGAGCACCTGAACACCTTAACGTTACTGTCCACAAACAATATTTGAATAATTATAAATTTTGTTTCCTCTTTTCTATACAAAATGATATTATATAAAATGTGACGTATTAGCCGGTTGATGAATCACCAAAAATAAGCTTGTTCGCTAANNACGCTATACTATTGTCCTTTTCTTTTCCCAGAGTAAAGTTTACGTTCGGATGGGCATTGTTGTATTCAGGTGTGCTGCAATCAACCTTATCACTAAGGTCTATCTCATTCCAAGATAGGATGAGTTCGGTAGCACTCGGCTTCTGTTTAACAAATTATGATAAGCCGTTCAAACGGACAACCATTTGTAAGCACCAAATTCGGGTTTTACTCCCGGTCGATTGGGATTCATATCTGACTTCCTCCATTACCCGGAATTTGTGTTGATCTGACTATTCCAACATCTGCACCATTTGGTTTGTTGTAAATATCATTTGTAGTCCATTTCTTGCCTAGCAATAATCAGCACAATACTTTTGTTGCGAACAAACCAAAAATTACAGTCGCTTTATATTTGTCTATCTGCCTGTGGTTCGCAATTCTAAACTTTGCTTCAGTGGCACCGTACAAATAACGTGGAATAACGGTCGGTCGGCCAATGTGCGGTTCTGTGTAACTGTCCACCGAGAAAACGTGTACACATCAATCATGACCGTTATGGTTACACAATGCATCGACCCCACAAAGTGCTTCAGTCGCCACACGTTACCGATTGAACTGGGTCTATCAAAAGCCCGTCCGCTAGAAATGAACTGATTTCTATGTAGACAAATAAAAGTACTTTATCAGTCAGTCACCGATCGAAGATTACATTTTCGGCGGGTGAGGTTGGACTGTCTGTCCGCTCCCAACTCTACGCGCTGCGGTTTATATGTCCTTTTATCCGATGTAACCGTGTCAAATCCCGATGGGTGAACACAGCTCACAGATCCATTCACAAAAGTCCACCTGAATCGTTTGTGGGCGTGCTTGTGGTGAGAAAAGCCAGCCACTTTGTGTTGATCTTTTGCTGCTTGTGAAAAGCATGTCACACTCCTTGCAAGATCGACTTAAAGGATGATGACGCATTTGGTCTGGCTGAACGCATCAAGCCTGATAATTTCGGGAAATCTGCGAAGAATTGAACAGTCTTATTCCCGACAATGCGAAAAACAGACCACTTCAACCGCGAGAACCGGACAGTGGAACACACGTGCGTTTTTATTTTATCGCACTGTTCATTTGTTCGAATGACGGGGTATGGAACGCCCTCTTTTGTACGTCTATAGTTCTCGACCGGTTTTTCACCGGTTCAGGCATAGCCAGTGGGAAACGCTACAATTTGAAGTATGGTATTAATGCTCTTCTATCCCTTTCCATTTACAGTGTTGGGAGTCTAATAAACCTCAGTAACTATTGCAACTTTTAGGATTGGATGTCACTCAAAGTCGTAGGAATAGTCGTAGGAATGTAACATTCTGTGTTACCTGATTTAGCTACTACCCATTTCATTCTTGCCGTGAACAATACTACTGCAACTGGCAGTAGTCTTTGGTGTATTTGCTGCACTCCAGGAAGGTTATTTTTTCAGGGACAAAGGGTCACTATTTGGACATTTCTGATCCATATTTTGATAAATTTCTTTCACGAGATGAATAAAAAATCCTTTCCTTATCAGTGTGTGAATTTCACAATAACAAAAGGTTAGTAGCAGTGGAAACTAAAAAAAGGCAAGAAAATATTATTTACGTCAACAAGATATTATGAAAATAGGAGAATTTCATTTTTCGTTTTTACACTTATTACAAATTGGTTATCACATTTCCGTATGCAAAATGTGAACACAGTTAAAAAGTTAGAACTAGATAAATTTCCGCTTTTGGAGTGTACAAATCCATCTAAATAATAACAATAAAACATCACTATCACTACGTTGATGAATCAATGAGTTTGTCGATGCATTCTTGATAAGTGTACAAAAATGTTTTTGTGTTAGGTGTGATGGCCATGCTTTCCTGTTTGAGTCCAGTTCAATGTCAGTGTGACACACATGTCCAAAAAGAGCCTATTATTCCACTGGTAGAATCTCATCGGCGCCTGGTTGATCAATACGCAAAAAGTAACAAAAATAGAGGGGTATATGAATAATTTTGGATTTGGTTCGATTTCAAAACACTCCAACGGAATTCTTGAGGTATTTTGTTCAAGGATGGCACTGAAATATAGGAGTAGAAAAGCAACACAGAAGAAGAGCGAAGGGAACGAGTGATATCAATAGGCCATTTTATCATAGAACATTTTGGCACTGATTACTGGACATTTCATCAAGCCTCAGTGAACAGATGTGATGCTATGAATTATTATAAATTACTATCCCTTTTCAAATACAAGCAAAACCGTTGTAACTTCATGTGCATCTGATCAATCACATTCCACTGGGAACCTCATAATGTGTTTGCTGCTTGTTATTGGCATTGTGGGCAGAATGCAATAGTGATTACGGAAATCACAGGGAAAAGTGTAAAATTGTTAGCTAGTAAATGAGCTCAAATTCGATCTTGCTATTCAGCTGGACCACTGCGAATTCTTTCCATGTATCCTTATACCATTGTTAAGTATTTTGCCGCACATGCTTTTCAATGCTAGAAATATTTAAGCAATTACATTTGGTTCAAAGGAACCATTGTTATTCGAGATAACCTCTGTCTCAGTGAATTTTATTCACAGGGTTCTTGTAGGCCTAGACTGAACCAACATTAGCGCAATCATTCATTTCAACATTCACCTCTGAGCTAGATATGTTGAGCGAATGTAGCAGACGTAACACATACCACGGAGATTATGTTCAAATCGAGCACACATACCTGTAAACGAGTGACGATGTGAGTGGAATTGGAACAAGACGATTTATTTGCTTTCATCGATCATTTTGGCCATATACTGATGCAGAAATTCATACTGATTCTGAAAAAAACATGATAACACAGTGGTTAGCAGTGGCATGATGCGATAAAAAGCACTATGCAACGTTGACAGGTCAGTCGGAAATTTTCAAATACACCAAAATTATCGATACTTTTTAAGCTAATAAGTAGAGGAGGCTATTGAAATACAATTAAGCGGGGGAAGAACAATGAAAGTCAGTTGATGCATACACGTGGAATGTTATTTGTGGTGAGCGAAATTAATAGTACTTTTTAGCAATCGACAGGAAGATTACAATCTGGATGGTTCAATCGAGCATCAACATAATACACAACACTGCCTAAGGAAACTGGAGTATTATGAAAAGAAAGAATTAATGATGGAAATAAAGCACTCGTCCTCATCATGCTTACCGATTTCTGGACCATGCACATGCGACATAAACGAAGGTTTTGAACAATTCCACCGATATCAACCCAACGATCTCCTGCTTTCAAACAACGAAGCAGAATGTCCGCTGTGATAAACGTTCCCGTCCGCCCGACTCCGGCGCTGGAAGACGGGATCATAAGCGGTCATGTCAGGGAGAAACACGTATATGCATAGATAGATGTTTGGATTTTGGCGAGATAAACAAATAATATTTTAAACGAACGTGAATTGTTAAACTCAATGCAAGTAGACAAATCCGTCGATCTGATTCACTAAGTCCTGTCAGTTGGTTTTACGTGAACATATAAACCCAAAGATAAGGTGCATCAAGAGCTGAAAGTTTACAAGTTAGAAAAAAATTATACTGAAAGTGGGTGCGTGTTGATTTTAAGCATAAATTCGGGAACAGCACAGTGTGCCAAACAAATCCGTTCTCAATTACTAGCAACTATATCAATATATAACACTTAAAATGATCAAAACATAAAGAGAAAAGATTGCAAATTGTGGTCTCAATGGTTCATCTTTAGCCTGGGATGTGTATGTGACATTGTTCACAGTATCAAACGTTCAAACTGGTTCTCAGCGAAATCTGAACCACCGGAACTGTTTTTTATTGGCACGGTTGCGAGTAATTCGAAATGAGCTTTTCCGTCTCACTGTGTTGTTCTAAGTGTCTTCTGTGGGAACATTCACACATTTGACAAATAGTGTTGCAGGAAGGTAATTTAAACTGATATAGTTTCATTCGGTGATAATATAAAAGATCCCAAACATTCAAACTGTTCAGCTTCGGACGGTTTTCAAGCGAATAAAAATAATAGAAGACCTGAGCAGTTGCTGCGGCAGACCCTGAAGGGATAGACTATGATTTTTACATGACCGTAGTGAAGCATCGATCTAAATTTATAATGGATTTTATTGCGTATCGAGCCAATGAAGCGTAAACTGAAATGCTTGGATACCGGAATGATTGTGAATCCCTCGATCCAACTAATGATTGAACTAGGGATATCATGCAAGGAACACAAGTATAGTACCGAAGAGGTTATCAGGTTATCATTTCCCCCTGTTCACGATATAACATATTTCATCTTCGCAAGTTTATGGAAGATATCATATCTAGCATCGCATTTCAGTATTATCGTCCTGGTTTATGAATCGTTTGGAAACATTCCCAAACTGACTGTTTTACCACGTGACAGCGATGGAGGATTTCATTTCATCATCTAGTGTATTTGGTCACGTATGAGTAAAATAAAAAACGGTCCGAGTAGCTGCCCGGTGTCCCAATGGGTAGAATGCTTGCGTTTTATTCGTGAGGTGACGCGTTCGATCCACCGTTGGGTCGGTGAATTTATACTGCTATTGAGAACTAATCAGGTTGAAAAAGCTTCCTAGTTTTATTGGCTCTGTGTATGTTGAAACACACCATATAGGAGTGTCCTTCAAGGTACATTAAAAATGCAAAACAGTTCAATCAATTAATTCGTGAGCAAGTGAATATCAAACTTGTGTTTTGTGTTTGAGTTCGAATATTTCATCCAAAGCTGAGCTGTCATATATTCATGATGTAAACGTCGAATGCAACTTTGAAGTTTTTTCTTTCAGTTAACAATTTTTGGAATTCAAAATGATCAGCAAGCTGAAATGCTACTGCCTATTGATCGCGGAAAACAGATGAACTATGTAAAGATAAGTTGATTTCAGGTAACCGACGAAGTTATCGATGAAAATTGTTCCCCGATCACGAACAATCGAAATGTTGTACCACAATGACGATTCGGATAAGGAAGGCTGTTTGAGACTCATGCTAGCCCTGTGTAAACGAACAGAACTTTTCCGCGAACAGCTCACCTGCAATGAACCAGCGTTACCTTGTCTCCACTCTTTGTGTTGCGCTGCAACTGATGAAAAGTTTTCATCAACTGTTCAAAGTCAGTCACTGTCGGAGAACCGTGATCAGGCCAATTGATGAAGTGCAACTGGGTAACTGTAACGACATTGGATTCCGCGGCCTAAAGAAAGGCATATTTCGGAGATAAAACATAACGTAATAATAAATTATGAGCGGCAAAATTTCATATTGCATTTAGTTAAAAAAACTATCAAGCAACCTTAAAATTACAAGTCTTCTTTCAGTTTTTCAGATGCGGGAATATATTTAGTAAACGTTTATTTTTGCCTCCTTCTGAATCTGACTGAGATTTGTTAAACTTGGAGAATAGTCAAGCTCGTGTGGAAATAAATAAAACACACCAATCCGTGATTAATACTCACCGAGACAACGCTGAATTTGCGGACAATGCATACGGAATTTCGATGTGTATTGGCATCTTCTTCCGAGATTTCCGACCGCAAAGTGACTGCAATGTCAGTCCCATTGCTGGAGTATATTTTAGTCTCCCTCTCATCTGGTGGCCAGTATTGATGCGCTTTTGTTACACCCGCTTCTTGCAGACTGTTCGCGGCCAGCGATAACCACCACCACCACCACCATCACCACAATTTTCAACGAAAGAAGAGTAGACATGAATAAAGAGAGTATGTGTGTTTGAGAATGATACTAGAATGGGATGACGTCATGTAACCAGCGATCGAAAGATGGGTGTTTACCCTGTGCGGTGTGCCACGGGGTAATAAGTCACGAATCAGTTGGTTAATAAAGTGAATCAAATAGATTCCTTGAATAAACATCTGCGGATTATTCTAGGTGAATAGAGAACGAATCTTTCTACGACGATGTACACTTTCAAACACACTTGTTTTTGGTCTGTGATGAACCGTCAAAAGAAAGTATGTTTCACGGATGAACCCTGTATCTTTAAGGCAGTTTCTTATGTGAGTGCTGCTGATTAATTCTTATTGATAATTGTTGTTATTCCATTTCCAGTGTCAACTTGCTGACCTGTATATGGTTTGACCCAGATTTGTTACAGTGATTTCCGACACGTCAACATTGCCCAATTCTGCACTGATTTATCACACTCGTATGACCGTTATAGTTTCCAGTTATGCTGAGATCGACTGAACGATACATACTATTCCAGCGTAAACAGGGATGAAACCTCATTTTTCAGACTAATATCAATCAGGTAGCCTGACCATCGCTCAGTTACACATAGCACTCCACGCTTACCATTTATCACAATGATATCTGATTGATCTGGATTTCTTGCTTTGTCTCTAACTGCTGTTCTACTTGGTGCCGGATCACTTTCGGATCATGACCTGTATACTCAATAGATGAGGCACTGAAAAGAACCTTTTTGCTAATTGATGTCGACAAAAACAATCAATAGTGAACAACATTCGTCGGACATCTTTCCCCATAGTCGTGGTCAGCGAATATGAATGCCCAATAGACGTAAACTGAATAACCTCACGCGCACTAGACTCACTTTGTTAGCATCACAATAATTGACACGTCCTGGTCCAGTACCATTTTCCAAAAATCACCAAACGTGTTTTCCAACGGGGCTTGGGTGGCAATAAATCGCACCGTTTTGCGATCCATCGTTAATACTTTGGAACCGACTTCAGGATGATAGATTTTGTAAATGAAATTGGCATTGATGTACGAGGAACCCTTTGATTTCGTCCCGAAATAAAATACATTGGAGGGAAGGAAAGCGCATTGTTGTGAGTGTATGCGTACAGACGCATAGTGTGCTTAACACGGTTTAGTATTCCTTTAAAACACCACGTCGTGTTTGTTTAGAACAAGCTACGCTGAACTGAATAATAATTTTTAATTAGTGCAGGTTTACAGGCAACGAAGTACCCAGGGGGAAGGAGTGAGATGGTCTGTGCGAGCTCGTTAAATCAAAAGGGTAGAACAAAGATGCGAAAGATGAAGGAAACCGCTGAAAGAAACTAAACCCTCGGAATTGAACATTTTAACCTCATAATGGATTAGAAGTGAATGATTGGTGTGCAGATGCTTGGCATTTCATGTCAAATGAAACCACAATTCTCTTAATTAATGTTCATCGAGAGAGATAAAGGTCAATCCATCCATCCACTGTACAATTTCGTAAATTGATGAAAGTTCACCATTTGTGTGCGTTCAGCGTTTCTTCACTTGACTTGACTATCTAGCATGGTATCTATTAGCTGGTAAAAACTGGTATTTTTCCCATTACGCTAACCAAACTAGGTTCCGCATTTTGTGATTGTATTCAAAAATAAACTAATGATCATAGAAAGACCTTCATTACGGTAGAGTTTACACTCCATTCGGAAAATGTAATGGTCATAACGGCCCAACTACAATCTTGCTGTGGCAGTGAATGGTCATAAGATTAGGCAGCTCCAATTTAGCAAAATTTCAGACACAGTACATAATACAATATAATAATTAGTAATATAATAAAAGTTAGACTAGACCTTTTTCGAGAATCATCACGAAGAATATTCTCACGACTAATGATCAATCGAGACCGAAAGGGTTTAATTGGTGTTTCATACATGCATAGGATTCTATATAAAACTGTGTTATTTCACAGTCGCTCATTCATTTTACAGTAAGTAGTACATGAATGACTGGACAAAATTTCCTTGGAAGCAAACGACTAGTTTTGCGGTTCTTTCCACTCGTCAGGCCTGCGTATCCGATGGTAATTAGGCTTTTCCTTACCAAACTGATTGTGAAAAATTCGTTTAAAACGCTCAAATCACGTTTTTTTTGGTCAGTAGCGTTTAACCTGCCTGCAAGGCGTCCAAACGTAGTACTGATTCTTCAATGGACTGGTTATGAAAAGTACTGTCCAAACAAATTCCCAGGGTTACAAATCATTATTTATATATACATGTTCTTCAGCTAGATATATAATTAAACAAGGGGGAAGGAAATGGCACGGACGGCGGTGAATTGATTTCTGTCAAAATGAAATTAACGGAGACTTAAGCAATAATTTTAGTAGTCAAATTATGTACATCATTTGGTTTGGTCTAGCGCAGACAATCAGCCTGCATATACCGTTGGGCTGACGCAAGAATGGGTCTGCGAAAATTTTGGGACTGACAAGCGAATCAACTTTTTGAACTGTGAAAGTGCAAAACCGGATTGTAACCAAAGTATGAGAAACGTGATTCCTTCCTTACTTTCGTAAAACTTTCACCAGGAAGAAATAAATTTTCAAGTTAAAGGAAAAGATTGATAACGACATGTTGGTTTGAAGAATCACAAATCGTTCCTGCTTACCCCTTTGACCTTTAATGAAACTTTTGTTTGATCGTCTGGAAAAGGGAATAGAAGGTGGATAGGAGTTCAAATGCGGAAAAAGCAAGCGTGCATATGGACTACTATGATCATGTTTAACTTCGAGTAAAACCGGGTAGGTCGGGATATGGTTAATTTGTCATTCATATAACAAAAATATTACATTTGTAACAAGTTTGTAGAATTCCTGCAAACACACCGGACATGTAATGGAGTGGCTCACTATCAGGTGCACATTCTTATATTCACCGTACCAAACAGCAGCCGTTTGCTTTAACAGGTTTTGTTCATTTTTGAAAGAAACTGCTGATCGCATTGTTTTGCATATTACTCACAAATGAGTAGTATCTTACAACACTGGTAGATCACAGTTGATAATAATGGCGAAGGTGATAAAGACAACCAAATTTTATGTCATATGATTCACCAAAGGCTGCAAGACGATACATTCAGTCATTAACATCCTAATTAAGAAAACCTTAAACTGAGAACAGAAAGTTTTAATATAGGCGGAACAAACGCCGATTTGAAACAAATCAAGTAAGACCTGTTGGCAGAGATCTACTGGTTACCAAAAGCACAGAACCAGAATTAAAACGAAATAACAAATTGAACTCGTTTATCTATCCGTGCTGGTGTACTTGCCAGAGAAGAAAGACAAATTAAGGGCGTTATCAATAGACGTAACACTGTTTTCTTTTTCTAGTAATGCCTTTATTATTGCAGTTGTGAAAACCCAGGCCGTAGTTGTTCAATTGAATATCAAAAGTATATTTCATCAAAGTAATGGACTTCAATGACAGTAATCTCGGACTCTCAGCGCAGAGTTAACTCACATGGCAAAATATCCTTATAGCGATTCAGAGCTCGATTGTTTGCTGAAGAAGCATCATTTTTAGTTAAGATTCCATTTGCTTCGTTCTTGGCACTTGCTGCTTGAATTTTCTGAAAATCAGTTGCAAATGAATGATTAGGTAGCTTGTCCATTTTTGATTGACGAATAAGTCACGAACGGAATTAATTACTATTAACTACAAAAAGGGGCCTGGTTTTGGTATGATCAGTTACCTAATATGTATTTTGTGTAACTAAAATTTGTACATACATTTCAATACTCACAAACGTTTCAAATAATTAATATAAAAATAAAAATCCTGCCTCCAAAACCCATGGAGCGTCCGGACTCCAAACTGTACCCTCTGATTCAAAAAAAATAATTACTGTTTTCCCTATGTTGTGACCAAATGCAATGAAGAAAAATAAATATTTTTGTAACGGGTGATGACCCATTAGTGATAAAGTGTTGACGATAGGATTAACTGTCTCTTACCGCGTATTGATTTTCCAATGTTTTATCATTCGGTTCAAGACATTGTTGTGCATAGTTAGGAAACTCATCGATCGGCACGGCGAAGGATTCAACAGGGATATTTGGTTCATCCAAGATGATAGGACTGGTGTGAGAATTAGAGGAAATATTTTAGTTGAAAATGAGCTTTTTATACATCAAATGGATCTTATTCACATCAATATTCATTCGATGTAAAGGAGAGTCATCGTCAAAAGTGTTGTATTGAAAACTCTTTACAGAAGGACTGCCCGGACCCACACATACTGCATCGATATAAATCACCTACTTGGGATTGTATCGTCCCAAGAGTGCATTACTGATTGTAACTCGCTAATAAGAGACAAAATCCCTATCAGATTGCAGTTGGATCAATATAATTTTCCTTTGTATCAAATGTTCAGTTTATTTACATTATAAAAGACAACGGTTTAAGGTTCACTCCACATAAAGTGGAGAATATTGGGAGGTTGGAACCAGCTGATCCCAAAATGTCCTGTTTAATTCACGTTTCCACATCATTATGGCGATGATTTAGCGAACCTAACTCACATGCTTCTGGAAGAGCAGGAGTCCCCAGGCAAGCGAGCGGCTTCCTTAAAATCAACGACTGGACTTGATCAGGGTATGGTTCATCCCACCCTTCCACGTAAGAAGGAACAATAGTGAATATCGGAATCGATTTTTAAACGATCGATGGTGTAAAAAAACATGAAGGTGAGCAGATGACGTGGTGACAAGGCAAGACGAATGACATAGAGACAAAAATCACGATGGTTGAACTTTGTCTTTGGGGTAACGGTTTGTTACGGTTAGGCAATCGAAATAAAATAAACCAACTGAAATTATGAAACAAATTCGTCACACGCGGGAGTCCTGATTCTCAACAAAACCAGAGCGGTATTTTCCACAAATGTGTTAAGAAAGAAAAGCTATTCTTTCCAGTTTGCATGGACACAATTCGAATATCAGCTCGAGTACGTTTAATCCAGCTTGACCTCGTTGCATAGCGAACGATATAGTCCACGTGGTCAATAATATAACTGGTGAAGTTGCAGGCTTCACGAAGGACAAAAAAAGGTGCGGCACCACCTTTGTTATCGTTATAGTTTCAAGCTGGTGAGATCTTCAGCATTATTTTCATTCTATGCATTGAATTTAGAAACAATCAAGGCTTTAATACAAGTTTCGTGTTCCAAATAACGTTTAAGTCATAATTATGTCTGTAGAAAATTAACAAACAGAGCGTATCAATAATCGTTTTACTGCATCTGTAAACGCGCTTACCACCGCATATTTGATTTCTATTATAAGCAAAGAACTTACGAGGATGATACCGTCACTAATTACCACGAGCAGCACGAAACAGGGGAAACGGAAACGGAGGTTGTACATCATGAAGGCAGTGCCAATGTTACCAGGCAGTCACATCGTTTGCATACATCGGTTTTATGATCAGAAATGGTCAAATCCTTGGCTTATTGATGCTTGTTGTGTTGTATGCAAATGAGTTCAAATGATATACTGTTTCCTTTTATATCGGTGTGGTTAAATTGAGGATTTGAATCGTTGCTGTCCACTCGACAACGTAACAATTTCTAAGTTGTCGCTCCTAGTTTTCGTGAGCTACACCGGGATGTTTTCGGATATTCGTTAACCCTAACTGCCTCTATGTCCTATCCATGTAGATAGTCGAGTCGAGCATTGGTAAACGTAGCTTGATCAGGGGAAGGGGGGGGGGCAGTGGATTTTCTGTGATGTCGTTGATATCTTCGTGGTGGTGGAAGCAATGACAAGATGTACCACGCAAACACGCTTCACGGCAGAGTGCGAGTGCTTGCTAACTAATCGGCTTAGGTCGTCGACTTTGTACTGTATTTGGAGAATAGCTCCGGTTTTAGGATTATTGTTTTAGTCTGTCTTCAGTGCTCCCTAAAGATATTTGATGTACGAAACCCGATATCTGTTAGGATGTATCCCTTTAGAAGATCGCTTCGATCATTTAAGGATTCTCGTATGCGCATTCTATTCTCTCGATGAAACAGGGTGCGGATGAAATCGATGTTATATCGTATTTGGGCAACGCTCGTGACCAAAAACTATTGCCTAGACTGAATTTTCTTTCAAGAGATGAATCTTCTTATCGATCCATTCGGTTGCAAATGAGTATCTATGTCTAAAAGTTCAACTTTCTTGTTCACTTCGTAGTGTCCAGTAGGAGTAATGTTGGGATGAATTTGGCTGAGCTGACGGAGTAGTTTTTCTCCGTCTTTCTTGAGAGTACTTAGAGATATCATACGTCATTGTTTCTGATAATCTTCCAGTCATTTAACTTTTGTCATTCATTCATTATTGATACAAATCATCTGGACTGCAGTATGCACATGTGGTGATGTCAGTAGACAATCTCGGGTAAACTGCCCAAATCCATATTTGTTAGGTGTTCATTTCAGTTAATTTACCATTAATTCATTTTTTCCAATAACAAATAGAACGAGTTGGATTTAATTATTCTCACAACCGATTTCATGATATAGATACAATTCAGAAATCCTCTACTTTGAGCGCCAAGCCGAAACTCAAATAGTTCACACACAAACATCTCTTTCGTTAATGATTGTGAATATACTTTTATGTTTATCCATTCGAAACGGATTTCAGACCTCCGGTCAAACGTTTTTAATCAATGTGGATAAATTAGTTTGCGAAAGCCGTTGAGGTATATCCTAGTTAAACGGTCGAACGAATTTCACTTTCACATAGAAGTTTCGATGACAGAGTCGTCACAGTTAAGAATAATACAGAGGGACAGGTGAAGGGTTCATAAGTTTTATGGATCAAGTAAAAATTCTTTACTGTGATAGAACAGACTGCAGCGATGGGAACACAAAGCAGTGCGAGCTGTAAGACTCAAGGAAGTTTTGGTTTACGAACAGTGGATAAACGGAAGATATTTATTTTCATAAGATGCATAGGACAGAGGAGCTAGAGAGATTCTTGCATCTCGAATCTACTCGTAGAGTTTGGTCATCTGATATGACAAAACACAACTTATTTTAAGTGCATCGATTCTGAACCCCCAGTTATCGATTATGACCAATAGATCTAAATATTAGGCAGGTGAGAAGGCAGGACACATGCACACATACTTACGTAATTACTTCCGGTGGCTTGTTCTCCACCGGGGCGTTTACGGTTGCAACAGGTAACTGTTTTGGTTGTCGGAAAAAGAATAAAGCGGCTAGGCCAACCAGCGCGAGCATACAACTGTTGACAAGTGCCAGCATCACGTAGAGCGGCACACCTAAAAAACAATAATGCCGCAGAGAGACAGAACAATACACACAGAGAGGAGAGGGATTGAAAACGGCTGGTAAATAAACGAAATAATAAATTGGTAATCAATCAGTGTTACCCGAATGAAAAGAGTACTAAGTGAACTCAGCTGGTTATCTCACCGCTTCATTAGGGTTGCATCGATCTCAATGAAGAAAAACTCTCTGAGTAAATTCTGATGAATACTCAGGAAATGGATCCGCTTTCCTTGGTGAACAGCACTATATTTAGGTGATATACCTGATTTCCCTTGGGTAACTTGTATGTGTCAGTGACCGTTGACACCATTTTAACGTTTTTGGAACGCACAGTCACATTGCGGTTGTTCACGTACAACTTTTCCTTCAAGATAAATAATGGTGAAATAAGTGCTGTTCAAATGCATCGCGAATGAGCTGGCGTGTTGTCTGGAAATTGAAATTCGTAGAACCACTCAGAGCTGAAGATATATGACGCGCACCCTCAAAACTGTTCAACAAGATGCACAAACAGAGGTACATAAGTTCGATAAATTCCCATCGTGATGTCAGGCTAACATATATCGGATTTTCTGTGCAGGGATTCAAATGGCGAGAAATTCAAAATGGGAAAGAGCCACAGGAGACTTAACCCAGCTTTTGTGATCCAACAACAACAACAACATCAACAACAAACAACAACAATTGATTATCATCCTTTATCCTGAGAAATCCTGCAACCTATTAAAAGTTTGTTGCAGCAACAATGGAATGATATTCAGTTAATTGCAAGTACATGATAACTGTGGATTGACGCGGAAATAGACGTACGATTCGTTGTTGTTCGAACAAAAGCTCGGTCACTCATTCGGCAACCACCGAGATTGCACGCGCGGAACTGAATGCTAGAAGTAGACATAAGTGAAATATGAATTACCATAAAATGAATGCAGGCACAGTACCGTTTTTGTTTCGGGTGGAGTGAAGTTGATCAAAACCACCTCGACTATAATATTTCTGGTTTCGCAGGTCTCTAGCATTAACTACCATCTAATTTGAATCCGGTGATATTGGTAATTAGCAATGGGGGTTGTTTCAAAGATAAACATTATAAGAAGAGTTGGTCAATCAAGTTTTTCCAGTAAATTTAGCTCGAACCGTTCACAGAGTTCAAAACGCAAGAAAACAAATTGCACATTTATATATAATAATAATCATGCGTAAGAGATTTTTACGGTCAACTTGCTTTGGTCATTTTATTGCTTTAACTAGCCAGCGGACCCAGGGGACTAGACGGCGGATTCAATCGATCCTGATTGATCACAAGTAATAAAAGTCAAGGTGATTAGACCAAACGCATTTATATTTAATTCACATACACGTGAGTTCATACTGTGCAAAAATATCACAGTACAATAATCTTTATAAAAACAAGTTCCACGATTTGTTTGTAGGCGCGACACTACTAGGCTGATCAGGTCAAAACAAGAGAATTTCCTTGAAAATTTCGCAATCAGTCTTTCACTAGTCAAAGCTTCACTGGTGGTGTGTGGAAACAGCAGTCCATTGGTGGCCGGTATCCAGTTCAGCAGGTCATATCCCCTTTGGACGGGGTCGAACGTCCAAGGTGACCAATCGAGCCAGTGACCACTGCCACAACCAGAGAGGTGTGGGTGTATGTTTCGTACGCCTCTTATTGATCAATTTGGAATTAAGGTTTTTAACAGACTCCCTTAGGTGAACTACCAGTGGTTCCCCATCCAAATATGGCCCCGAATTTCCTCTCACCTTAGTGAAAAAACCGCATCCACGAGAAGGCAGCGGGTGGGGCTTCGTCAGCAGAGGCTATCTGATTGCTTGATAGTATGGATGCATTTCATGGGGTGCAAGAGAAGCGTGACAAGCCACGAATTTAGGCACTTACTCCCGACCGTGCCGGGGCTTCCGGAAAATGGTGGCGCTTCGGTCACGGGTAAACTTCCTTACCCCGATCGCTATTACTGTAGCTAGACTGGAAACCAGTGATTTGTTAGTGAATTGCATAAAAGAAAATACTTTTACCAATAGTTAACAGGCGAACATTCTTTTGCAAACTTCGAAAATCCTGCGCAGTTATTGTCCAGCCCGTATTTCATGCAGCTTTACGCATAAAATGGGACTGGGTGGCCACGAGATCACCGCTGAGTCCATTATTTGTTGAAACATTCATCACAAAACTACAATGAGCTTAGCCCAATTCTGCAATACAGACGACAGATTGCGTGACTGTTATTCGCTCTGACTTAAAATCCATGTTGTTGGTATCTAACAAGTTGGACAAAACAGCACGTTTCAACTGCATATGCTAGCCATGGTCGAGAAGATCGGGTTAAGGAAGCTGACCTCTGAACAAGCCGACATAAACTACTTGGTTTGGTCATCCCAACGTTCATGACTTTTGATAGGTAAGGATCGATTGAATCCATCGTTCAGTTACCCAGAGGCGTGAGGCCATTATCTATGTGTCTGTCTGTCTGTTTGTCCGTCAGTCAGCCATTCAGTTAGTATATCTGCCTACCTGCCTAACTATCCATTTGTCTATTATGGATATAGATAACTGCAAACAAACTTATGAACACGAAAAGGAATTCATGTGAGTGACAAGTTCGCTGTATGTTGCTACCTGTATGACGTGCCCGAATTTAATGGGCCACTCTTGCAATACTCTGAGGTATTACACTGGGGTTCACCGAGCACAATTGAGTGCGTCTGCTGGCTCACGGATCGCATTCGTGATGTGCTTATCAGAATATCCCATGGTCCTTTGCCTGTCCGTTTTCTATCCTCCCAGGACTGGCGGTGATGAGAAAGAGAAGGGAAAGCATGAATAAACCAAATTGGAAACGTGTGTTCAAACGATTAAGGGTGTTTGTTCCACATCATATAGCATGATGCATCGGGAATTTCCGATACTCAACATCTGGACAAACCAATCATAACATCCGCTTTTTGTTCGCATATTTTTGATTTGCCATTTTAGCAATTTTGGGGCAACCTACCAAAGCATGTGTATTACATGTTTCTGGATGTAATGTGAAATGCCTGTTGCTCGGGATGTGGATGTTGGCGTTATTGTTGTTGTTGGTGTTTATGAACAACACTTTTCGATCAGAGATCAAACCGAAACAACAGATTGCATGCTCCCATTTGTTGGTTGAATGCAAAGATCACAGCAGTCGGTGCATTCAGCAGATAATCTGGTAATGAATACGCTATATAAAGTTGTAGTGTTATAATTCCGTAAGGCAGTGCTGGTCTAGGACAGTTGTTTACTGCAGATTTCAGATGGGATATCACCAATTCACCATACGTAACACATACGCAACATCATGGACATACCTTCGAAGTTCCTGGCGGCACACCGGGTAATGCATAGGTCAGTTAGAAGTTATTCTCTCAGATACATCACTTCGCCCTCGGTGGTCTTGTTTTATTTTTGATCATTGAAAGAAATTACCCACTATGTTACCTATTACTAACGAGTTAGTAGTATCTCACGACAGTAGTATCGCTTTGCTTTTAACCCGAACGATGACACTAGTTCCGTCTCAGCTGAAACGAATAAACTGAATAACTTATTCTTCGGTATTCAGATTATAAATCTTCAAGCACTGAAACCCATGTCGTGTTTGGATACCAGCCATGTTTATATCAACTGCCGTAGGGTGAGTACCTTAACATGGGGTACTGTAAAACAATCTAATGGATGTCTGTAAATTTGTCGAAAGTTACCTCACTACTTGCAAACAACTTTGAGGTTGTGGCAATTAACTTGACTGAACCTGAAGAATGATCGTAAGAAGGACATTTGAGACAGGCACAGGCTACTCTACACCCATTATATACACAAAGCACTGCCAGCTTTGTCAAAATGCATGATATTTCATGTGATTTACATGAGAACAATAAGGAATCAGCAAACTAAATTGCTAGTTTTTTTCAATTATGATTCAGTGCTACATGATATTATTACCAGAGCGAAAGTTTTGAATTAATATTCTTTGGTTATGCAAATTCAGACATATTCGTCGACATCATGTGAAAACCGTCAAAAGTTGATACAATGTGGAGGAATTGTGGCTCGGTTTGGTCCGGATATTGGTTTGCGAAGTTGCTCTGATGATGTTGCCCAGTCTGACTAGGAAACGTTTCTGAACAACACTTCTAGCCCGGATAACACATCAATATAAACAAGTGAGAAAGAATGAAACAATGCTCAGCCGTTACTACCACACACATATTTCGAGTCCGAAACGCTTACGTACACACGCGTAAATGCGTTACTTTCCAACCTCTAACAAATGTAATAACATCAGCAGACTGAAAATTTGTTGGTAATTCTGGCTTACCTGTGCATCGGGGACGTTGTCAGAGAACACTTCTGGAATGCCATTCAATTCTGATTTGGGCTGAACACGAAGAGTCAGATTTTCCATATCTGTGGTTTGCAGAGCGTCTAAATTCAAATTGAGTGAAATTGTGCTCCCAGTCACCGTAGGCATGGTCAGATTGAAGCCAAGTTGTAGTAATTGTGACAAATAGCTTGGAGCAACCGCTGGAGGTAATGCAGTGGGACAGTGGAACAACGACAAATCACAATCGAGTAGCTTAGTAATAAAGACGTTTTTAAGAGACTGGATCCAGAACCTGTCCCAACAAAGATAGTATCAGCTCTGTTAAATAGTGTTAGATAGTCAGCTACTCTCGTGGCTGTTGTTGTTGTTGTCGTCATCCGCATTTAGAGCAGGTCAGGAGCCCAGATTCGTTTGAAACCCATGCATGGAAGGCGTTAACTACTTTGTGCAGTGTAAACTTCACTAGCTGATCCGCGAGATCAAACTAATAACTCTGACGTTATCATCATTTAATGTCAGTAAAATCTCCTTACCAACTCTGCTGGTAGAATGTATATCCTACAAAGACGGTGTATATCGGGGATCCTGATTTGTTTACCATTCAAACATTGGCGGATAAGAAATTACCGCTCTTATATTCAACCTGCATGCGTAACATCCAATACTGTTTACTTTTTCAATTATATTCAAAAATAATAAATACCTTATACGGAATGTTTTTGGCACGTGTTCTGGCCTAGATAACTGCGCTTTTGGATTCCTCGTTCAATGAAAAATGTTTGAAATTTACTTTCAGTAAACGTGAAAAAGTCAATAGCATTATCAGATTTAGTTTGATTTCTACATACAGCAGACAAACCTTTGCAAGCTAAAATGGTTTTATCTACTGAGTGTCTACGTATGTTCACGTTTGAGTCCCCTTGTGGTCAGTGATCAGTGAACAGACCAAACGCAAATCACACTTGTATGTTGCCCTGCGTTATGGTCAAGAGTATAATAATCACATACTCTAAAGTGGCCAACTTCCTAAACATAGTGTTGACTGCTTACGCATAAATTATCACATACATGTTTATGCACATATGCATCACCCTTAATTTTGACAAGCCTCAATTTTAGTAAGAAAGAAGCGGACCATAAAAGGATTATCAAGTGATACCAAAGAAGAGGCGAAATTTAACAAGCTGATCAATATATTGATGAATAGCAATGTTTGGCTACTGCCATCCGATTTCTAAAGTCATTCTACGAGGCAACTCATAGAAAAGACACCCAGAACTCCATCGGGAATCTGTAAGGAAGTGTCATATAAACAATTAGGATTTTTCGAGCCAATCATACCATGAAAACAAAAAGAGCTGATTCCATAACGTTTGATTTCTTAAGCAGTGAACATCCCTTGTGATTAAAAATCATTTCTCAATCTGTATCCCTAAAACAATGTAGTTATGCTCTGTAAGGGTGTGAACTCACGTTCCGGTGCTGTTGTACAATCTTCTATCACAGATGGTTTGCTGTACTGGTCACCGGATATCAGTTGGACCTCGTACTTGTATTGGCGCCAACTCTTCAATTCGGTGGAACGGAACTGCGCTTGTTTCTGTTCTCGGATTTCATTTGTAACTGAACAGGGACGATGTGAGAAATAGTGGGCGAAAGTAAACTACGTTCGAATAACAGAAGTACAGATGTACAGGAGCATAGGAGTACACAGAATAGACGAATGAGAGCAGTTGGACGAGAGTAATNATAAATTCAGTGGCAGCAGCAGTAGTAAAGGAGTCATCCTCAAAAGTGTCGATAATTACCAAATGAGGGGTTAGTACTGCTCAAGCGTATACAAAATTCGGTACATATTCATATGATACCGATAGCACGCACAAACTGATGACCTAAGCATAAACGTTCTCAAATGGAAGCAAGTTGGAGCTGACGTTTCATTGCATTTTTTCGGCACTTGTCTATCATTCCTTTCCCCACCTTATATCAATGTTGTTACTGTAGGGATAAATAAATAAATGATAACTGTTTTTCCTTCCCGTTCTTCTCATTAAACATAAGAAAGTACAGTTAACGTTCGCGAAAGTTGCCGCGACTAAGCAAACTCGCCTGGAGAATACAGAAATTAGGGTAATGGGTGGCGGTGGGGCGTTTGGAACTCAGGAGTTCCCAGCAGCTACTATAGTTCCCCTAGCCACTTGACCACTGCAGACGAGAACCTAAACAGAACTTCTCGATGAATTTATAAGCCTTATGTGCGCAGTGAATAAGCAAAAAAGTAATTCTGTTCACCTACGTGGTCTGAACCATAGATTTCATATTTAAATCAATCAGTGCATACATTAAAATACTATTGTGGTGGAAGAATGAGTTGCCTTCGTGCTAGAACCACCAAAGCAAGTGGGATGAGGTTCAGAGTGAGTTTTCAAAGTGATGAAAAACGACCCAGAATCACATAGGCCCCATCGAGCTTTTCGTAACGCGTGATGGTTGACTCTGAAAGAACACGGTAGAGATGACTGAGTGTGGTATTGATAGGTGCTTTTGACTTCACCTAATGTACATACGCAAATTGTAACACGCATTCACTATCTTTATCTTAGTATTGCAATCAATAACTTATCTATTGTTACTCGGATGATAGTTTGAATGCCGTGATTGATAACTATGATGATAATGGTGACACTAATGGCAATGCTAGTGATGATGATGATGACCATGATGATGATGATGGTGATGCACTTGACAAACGGTCTGGTGATCAAGATATCCACACCGTGGATGAATATCAAGAACACACGAATGACGACAATGAGTGCGATGCTGTGCAGCACAAACATTAGGATCACAGTGATGACCAGTACAGTGAAACCTATGCTGATGTTGATGACGATAAAGACGAAGATGAGCACGACTTGAAATAGGAATTTGATGAGGATGATGCAAATTATGATGCTGTGGGTGACGATGTTTATGAATGGAATGAGAAAACCTTATTGGAGGATAATTAAGATGGCTCCATTATGGACAATAAACACTCGAATGACGATGAAGAAGATGAGGACTCAACGGAGTAAATGATGAAGATTACCATGGGGTTATGTCCCAGGTTAAGTAAGAAGGTGAGTACTCAGTGAATTAAGCAGTAAGTTTATTGTAGATAGAACACATATAGTCGATCCGACCGGTGAGCACGCAGAAGTGAGCAACATATAGCAAAGTAGGCAGACAGACTGACCTCGGCTCAAGCGTTGCACGACATCCATATGCCGTCTAGCCGGTATTCAAACAGTCAACGAATCAATAGGCGAGGATACTTCAATACAAACATCTAACTGACTAGAGCCAATTGATAGTATAGTAGAGTCAGTCCGCATGGCGTGAGTGCGTGCTAGTATGGTAGTTGACAGTATCTGTCAATCAATCAATCTGGCAATAGGCAAGCGCGGCAAACGTATCACATAGCAATCATTATTTGAATAATTATCCTGATGACGAAGAAGACGATGTTGGAAACTACGATGGATAGAATTCCAATGGTAGTGCTGAGGAAGATTAATAATGATGTTTTTAGATAAGCGGATGAAGATGAGGATCAAGATGACGATAAGTATAACCGTGAAAGTGACTCTCATGATAATGGTTTTGACTCATATGCTGGCTGGAATTACATAGAACCAAACAGGTTTGAACTTACCAAAGAGAATGAAAATTTCCGGGTTCTCATTTGATTCTTGAAGAGATCGGGAGACAGTAAACTGGTAACTGCATCTGCTATCCAGGTTGTTTGCTACCCACGAAACAATTTGTACGCCTATTCCATCATTCACGACCGATAAGTTAGATGGGGCTTTGGGAACTAAATTTTGATTGAATAATGCAAAGAGAAGGAATAATGAAAGATAATTCACTGACTACAACAGAAGTTCTAAAAAGAGTCTCAATTCCTGCCAAATGCATTAGGCTCCAGCGAACGTTCAGTGCACAACATATGAAATGGTCAAATGCTGATTGAATTTTATACAATTTGAAGCATGCTTCGAACAACACATTATTGCTGGCAACACATACGTGTGCATATAACAGACCATAAACCGTATTTCCCTCTTAAGGATTGCCTTTATTAATTGGTTCTGAGTTAAATGCGTTTAATCTCAACAAATGCACTAATAAGACACGTTTATTGGCTTTATTATAAATAGTATATTGAGGAATGCACATGGAGAGAGTACAAGCATGATGATGGCCTAACAAAGTACTCTATGCGTATACCTGATGAGCCGCAAAGACCGCGAAAACTGTCCTGTCCTATCAAGTCAAACCTCTCTACTAAAATCGTTGATTTTGTAGATCCCACAACGTTCGTTGCGGGTATTATAATAATATATACTGCTCGTCAAATGAAACAGTTGAAGAAGCACATGACAACCTAAAGTGCATTTTTCTTTTCATCAAAATCAACCACTACTTTCTTAATCATTTTACTGACGGCGCTAATTTTATTGATAGATTCGTACTACTCACAACAATAAGTAACTATAATATCAATTTGGCAACGCCCACATAACAGAGAGAACAATAGAACAATGAATAGGACTACTGGTTTACAAACAGTTAGCAAAGACAAATTTGGATTCAATTTTTGAAAGACAATGGAGAACTAAGTCATGTGAATGCCACGTTGTCACGGTTAGTTCGTGTTAAGTGACTAGCGGCGTAACTTCGTCCCCGTGAATAGATCACAAATTATGTCGGAAAACAGGAAGTCCACTGCTGATATATGAATGCAAAGCAACAAGAAACAATTTTGAACTCAAGATTGTCTGAGGAAAATTTGTCCAGGCTGGTTATTGTCTTGTAACCTGGAGGCTGAGAAAGAGGGGGATGAATTCACTGAACAAAGAGAGATAGTGAATGCTGAACACAGTCAAAAACGTATGGACGACAGAACATAGTACTACAGTCATTTTTTCATTGGGTGTGGAAATATAGGATATGTCAATTAATTGGCAATCTCTGCCTAAGAGGTCAATTGTTGGTGAACAGGTACGGAATTTCAAGACGGAACATTACGGGGGCGAACGAATCACGTCGGGACTTCCCTTCCGACATCAAAAAACAACCATACAAGCACATATCATAAAAAGCTTGTTGAACTAAAAGAGTCAAGTGGAGAGCAAGGATGGTTGGGATTCTGTAGTACGTGATGAAACAACAGCACTTTACCTCCAAAAGCAGCAAAAATATCGCGCCCAACTTCGAAGATATCAGTATTTTCGCAAACAAATAAGCCATTGCGGTCACTCGAACAAATAAGTGGTTCAATTGGTAGAAAGGAAAATTCACTATCACGGTGCAGATCTGTTTAGGCTTTGAATGGCACAACAAACGAGTAATCAAATGTGCACTGATAACCTAATTAGGAATAGTGATCGTTTAAGTCGAACCTGGAAAAAAAATGGAAAATTATCTACAAGCAAATGACTGAGGTCAAGAGCGGTGAGCTGAAATACTTTCGTCGGAACAATTATACCCTGCAGTTTGATGTGTAAAATTAAATGTAAGTATCGATTCCACAAACATGATGATTTGTATGGAGTGATATTTTGTGTCAGGCACTTGTCAGGATTTGCCCAAAACGAACAGATTTACTCGTCATCGTAACATAATAACGTTTCTTTCCTATTTTATATATTCTTCTATAATTGGAATATACAGCGACACACTTATATTAAATTCAGCAGCAGCAGATCTAACGCCCAAAATGAAAAGCATAGTGAGAAATATCAGGTGGTGGCGATGCAATTCGAACACAAATATTTCAGAGTAATAATTGGTGATCAAACAACCGAGAATACGAGGAGCAATTACTGCACATGATCAAACAAAAACACGTTAAATGCTAAAACCGAAGAAATAAAGTAAAAAATGAAAAACAAATTCATGAGCAGGTTGAAATACATTAAAAAAAACGGAAAACATAACGCAAAAGGAAAAAAACAAATATCCAGTTACCCAATGTTGCTTAACCTGGTCGAAGGCACATTAATTCCAAGACGGAGATGTTTTCACTGAGCAGTAAAACTGTACAATTGATGAACAAACTCACCCAATGCACTTGTCTCAAACACTTCGGAACTGGTCGGATCACTTGCTATATGCATGTTCGCATCGTAGGCTCGAACAGTGAACACGTAGGAGGTACAAGGATTCACATCGGCAACTGTAATTGGTCCAGTCGTACTAACAGATTTTGGTAAATCCGATATCACTGGTTCTGATGACAAATGGTAATGGGTAATACTGAATCCATCGGACGGTGCTGGCGCTTCCCAACGGACTGTCAGGTTGATCTGGCCAACATCTCTATTGACCGTCTGTTCCACTGTCACCTTTGTGGGTGCGTTCGGTTCTGTATTGTCAAATGGGAAGAATGAAACATCAATCCATGCGCGTCCACAACGTGTGTGAAAGCGAACAAAACCTATTGAATTTTACACGAAGTGTTCACAAAATTTGGTCTGATGTTGATCGTTCATTTTCACATTTCGCTCAACTCATTGTTTGTTTGATTCTTGTTCATCGCTTTTAAATGCGTCAGTCTGTTGACTGAAACGGTTACATCGATCTTCAACTTGTGTTGCATCACGAAAGCCCTGTTTGTCTGTGACAACAGAATTACCAAACCCATTCAGAACCACTGAGAAGGCAGAAAGAAGGAGAATAAAAATCTCGCCATGCATCAGTTGAAAAGCCCCACTCTGACTTGATCAGGTCTGAGATAACGCATCTGAATGCAATCTTCGCTGACCACATTCTGCGATTACAGAACGCCAGGCTTTTATGGCAAGGTATTCGGCTGCTCTGTGGGCAGAACAGGAAACACTCAAATTCCCTGGTGGATGTCGGTAGCCTCAACGTCGCTTTCATTCTTCCATCAAACGAGATCCAGATTCCCTCTTTTCTGTGCAATCAATCCAATTGAGTACATTTTAACAATGATGAGAATTTTCAAATGCGTTTCTCCAATGTATCCGCTGCGGCAGGCCCTGGTGGTTTTCCTCCTACACTTCGGAAGTTTGGAGCAGCTTCTCTGACCAATGTGATCACATACATCGGTAATGACTCCCTATCGTCCCGGTCAATTCCTGATTCCTGGCGTCAAGTTACCATTATTCCGATCCCCAAATACTCGTTCTCAACTGGTCGTGCGAAACGCTTTCGTCTCATCGCCGCTCGAAAGTTGAATAAAAAGACCAGTCTGAGTCGCTTGCAATCCACTACCACAATCCCTTACGAACCCCTCTAGTTTGCATATAAACCCAACAGATCTACACTGAACGCCGTATCCAATCTAATCCGTTTTATCAGTAAGTCATCGAGCATTTCGGCCAACTCTGTCCTTTGTGTTTTTCTGCACTATTCGTCCGCGGTTGATTCCGTTTCGCGATTATCCTTTCTTTTCAAACTTCCATTTTTGACACTCCAAGACACCAGCTCTCACGGCTTACTGATCACTTCACAGGGAGGGTTAATTGCATCGGAATGCACCTGGAATGCGCGCCGCATTTCATTTGAACAATCAACATACAACATTGTGGACAATAGCAACAATCACCTGTCACAGAAAAACAACGCACATCGATTGGAAAATGCAGTGGAAAATAAACCCATCCCAATTCGTTCATTTGCCAATGCGTATACATAGCTGCAAGGATACCATGTCCTACATAGAACCGACGCTACAGACGGTTTCCCTCGGAATAACACGGCCAACCTCCTACTGACTGTCTCTCCATGGGACAGAAACACGCACACAAATCGGTCTGCAACGAATCATGAATGCAAGTATACGAAAAAAAAAGTGAATACCCAAAAGTGATGAACACCACAGACAACCAATCCCCGGTCTATTGCTTCCGGAATCTATCAGTTGACGGACGAATTCTGGACTGGGCCTGCAAATGAAATCTCAACGAGTGTCAAGAGAAATCACAACACTCATCTCACACAACTAATCACGAGCGACTTCGAATTCAAAAACGAAGTTGTCACAGAATCCAAAGATCGGTTCTTCCCAAACTCACAATGTCCAACACATGTCCAAGAGGGTCGCCAATCTATCTGCTTTGCAAAACACCATCTCTCGCTAATCATGAACTGTGAAGGTGAGTTTGACGGATGGAGCCAGGTGCGTCCATTTATCATTGTGACAATCGCATCGATAAAAGCTCAAGTGTGCATGATTTTGGTACTATCAGCATGCGTTGGGGTGGAAGCACTAACACGGTCAAAACGGTTTCATGTAACCTTCATCATATCATCAAACATGAGACACTCACTCTCAGACATTGTACGCATTGTCACTTCCGTCGACATTGGTCCTTCAATTAGACCGGGACTGGCAATAGCTTGGATCTGATAATGGTAGAGTGTTTCCGGCTTCAACGAGTCGACACTGGTGTCTAAAATAAGAAATTATGGGAAATGTGCAAGAACCGCATCAGTTGGACCAATCGCAGAACAATTCTTCCTCATTTTGTCCATTCGAAGAGACACACCAATGAGAAAGTAGTCGGAATGCCCCGATCCATATTGTAATACATATTCGCACTCACTTTTGAACACGCGCACTCGCACAAGTGCATTGGCGGAACCCCTTTCCAAGGTCGACTGTATTACAAGTGCTACATTAGAGGGCAATCACGCATCACGTAACGAGGTTTACATGCATCATACATTGCGAGTCGTGTATTATTCTGAATGGAAACGTATGTCACAGATGTCCACGTTTCATTTTCGCATACTCTCGGCATAAAAAGTATGGGAGGAATTTCTACAGGGTGCTTGTCGTAGTCCTGGATGTCAATGTGGCTTGGCACTCACACCCAACAATCACAGAATGTGTGCGGCGATGGCCGTTGAGAAAGTCACCAAATCACCACCCCGGAGGACGTGTGTTCGAACCCCAAACACACACACACACAAAAATAAGTCCTCGCAGACAGACATTTCTATGTGTACTTTCACAAGCACATACTTGCGCACACGTAAACCAAAGCAATCCAGTTTCAGACGCGCAAACTCGCTCCGTGATTGGCACAGACCGCGAGAAATGCGAGTGAGGTCCTTTTTGAAACGAATTCTGTCTCGCCTGTGTCGCGTCTGCCACTGCCCGTGGTCTTACTGAAATAGGTTCTAAGGATACGCTTTTCATCATTCTTCACTCTACCGTACTCGCGAACCAATGATCACCAGAATGATTCCAACACGAAAGGAAGAAGATCTGGTCTCTTTCACATTGCTAGTCGAACAGTTTCCTTGATCATTTAGTGTAACAGTATTGACAAAGTTCTACCCCGCCGATATCCCTTCATCTCAAACATATCCGGAATTCTGATCTTTGATCATCACGGGAAAGCGGAGGTCTCCACCTTCGGGTTGACCTCGTACTCAACATTGCTCAATCTATCCTTATCTCCATCTTCTTGTTCTGCTACCTCACTACCCTACGTATCGTAAGAAGGGATTTCAAACCGGCAGACCACAATAGCTGGCAATAGCTAGGATCTGATAATGGCAGACTATTTCCGGATCCAAACACATAACACTGGCAGGCTGAAGATAAAAGCAACCTACTCGGCCACAACCATATTCTCTCCATAGTCCTGACAATAATGAACAACCAAATAACACATATTCTTCCTCACTGCTCAAACCATTTCCTTCTCAGGTACAATACATCTACCACTTCTGCCAAAATTCCAGTTTCATTCGCCTCTCTCAAGCAAAGTGACAGTTACAATCCTAACAACCACCGTCATACTTCCATTGATTCTGGCAATTCGAAAACTATGCAAACAATCACCGCTGACCAGCTGCGTTCACACCTTGCATTATGGTTCGAACATTTTGGTCACTGTCTTTCGGATTTAGTATTCATTTATCACCGATGCGGGATTTACCAGATCAGTCACACCCGATATCCACGAAGAATAATACTCGACCATGTAATAGAGTTATCGAATACATTTGACTGTGTCTGACATACTCGTGTCTGGCGTACTCGTGAAACTGACCCTGTGTGAAGTGGAGTCGTAGCGTCTCTTGTGGTCTACAAGTTCCCTCAGATACCGCACTATGCCTACTTGTCTACAACTGTCGCTGCAATGACTGGAATCTCTCATGCTCACTATTATATATCTCGAATCAGCATTGTACTGCTGATTTCTAACCCGGTTCAAGCTTCTCTTCGTTACCTCAAATGAAAAACAGTTATCCCTCCAAACGCTGGACTTATCAATATCTATCAGCAATAGTCGAGCTTGCTGTACTGCAACAGGCCTGCAACATGCCCATTTATGATTCCGGGAACCATGTATCTGTGCAACTGTGCATCTCCAACACCAGGCTCAAAACACTCGTTCTCAATCACAACAATTGTGCAAAATAGCACGCATGCAACGAGCAGTGAAGTGAATCACTCGCGGGTCATCAGATTTGTTTGCTTGATCCGGAAGTTTCTTCTGTTCTCGTTCGACTTGTATCCATTAAGCGGCGTCTGACATAGACAAAGGTCCAACTCATGTCTCACTACTTCTACTGATCGCGTTTAGGCTCAGTTTCTCTCGATCAGAAACATTTGTCTATTTACTTGTCAAATGTGACATCATTCACAATCGCATCATGATAACGGGGAAAATATATTAAATCCATTCGCATTGGATATGAGTCAGAAATGTTCAGTTCCGTGTTCAAACAAGCCGTGAGATTGGTGCAAGCGAATACCGCGCAAGAGCAAACGTCAGACTGATCTGGTTTGCGAATCACTTGGTTACCTTTCAACCGGTGTTCGCGATGCAGTGGTCATTTCACAGTTTTCAATTCACAATGCCAATATGCCAAACCACACGACTCCTTCCTCGCTCTCTTTCTCTCATCCCCAGTAGCACCTTGTTTTGGTTACAGTGATACACACTGATCGTTCCTGATCAACCGATAAGATAGCCGACCACTTCCCTTAACCGCACACACTAACATGCAATCACACAAACAAACACACGTACACACAGCATGGGTTCAAGCTGCCTTCGTCACATACCCGGTCTGGTACAGCTGTCATTTGACCCGTGTGACCAATATTATGTCCGGTTTGTACTTAGGCGTTCATTCATTGCTAATCATAGATCCAGACAGATTTACTACCCCAGTGCCATCCCTACTCTGAGTGGACACGCCTTGTGACATCCAGTTTCACCTTCCCTTTTTACTCTCGCTTAGTCCTTCGTCCGCCAGTTTCCTTTCTCCGGCCATCGACTGTACTCTCCAATCATTAGACCCCGGGGTCTGTTGTCCCGATTTCTTTTCATCTCTCGCTAATCGATTGACTGCTTGGTGAGTTCACTGGGAGAACGCCACCAATTGAAGTTTGTACATGTGATTATGATGTCCGTAACTGTTTCACCTTTTCAATGCTGCACTCACCGATCGGTTGTATAAATTCGGTAGTGGGTTCTATCGATTTAAAATCGATTTCCCGAAATCTGTTGGACTTCCAACGTTCCATAAATGCCATTTCGTCCATGACATGTGCTTCATATTTCACTCGTGTAGAATGAAAAACAAAATGAATTTCCTGAGGGTCAATTGCATGCATACAATAATGTACCAACAATTGAGAGAACCAATTATAAACAACAACATTTTGACAATGCTGCGGACGTTCCGAATCCAGGACTGTACACATTTGTTCCATATCCAAACCGAAATCAGGGAACCTGACGAAAAAAACGACTGAAATCGCCTGATACAACTAGCAGAAACCCGGTGTTAGGTTTGGACAGTGATTGCATATCCCGCTGCAGTTCATTCTTCAATATATCACGATGTAAGTTAAGTTATCTTAAATTAACCAAATAATAATCATTCCACATCATCGGTTTGCACGCAGTGACTCTAACATTTTTCCACAACCAATCATTTTTGTTACACCCCTTATTCTTGACTCGCCTAATCAATTAGTCCGGAGAGTTCGCAAGTACATCGCAATTCAATATTCACTCACACGTAACACTGGAATGTGCAATTAGCACTTTCTTCTCCTGATCGAATCCATCTGGCCAATATTGAATACGATAGAAGAATGGACAGGACAAGGACGCATTTTTCCAACTCAACGACTGAGTTCGAGGATCCACATTTGTCACGCTCAGTCCCTCGACCGCAGTTCGCACTGAAAAATGTATCATCACAAGAGAAACATCATCCGCGGGCGATCGAACGAGAAAACAAAACAGACAGTATGAACGAAGTGGAGATCAGTGGAACAACCAACAATTGGCACATTAACCGGTTTTGAGAAAAAAACAGTAAGACAACGACAGAAACCGACAAGGTCATTAGGTGCCAGTCGGATAGCATTATAGTTCCGTCCCGGCATATCGGACACCTGAGAAACTGTCGTCGCATCACGCAGCAGAAAATACATTAGGCACTACATAGATGATTCCGGTATGCAGTAAAAAAACAAATATCCAGTTACCCAATGTTGCTTAACCTGGTCAAAGGCACATTAATTCCGAGACGGAGATGTTTTCACTGAGCAGTAAAACTGTACAATTGATGAACAAACTCACCCAATGCACTTGTCTCAAACACTTCGGAACTGGTCGGATCACTTGCTATATGCATGTTCGCATCGTAGGCTCGAACAGTGAACACGTAGGAGGTACAAGGATTCACATCGGCAACTGTAATTGGTCCAGTCGTACTAACAGATTTTGGTAAATCCGATATCACTGGTTCTGATGACAAATGGTAATGGGTAATACTGAATCCATCGGACGGTGCTGGCGCTTCCCAACGGACTGTCAGGTTGATCTGGCCAACATCTCTATTGACCGTCTGTTCCACTGTCACCTTTGTGGGTGCG